GCGCGATCTGTCAGACAGTTCGTTTACGGCAGCTGTTGAAACCAGTTCACCTCAGTAGTGCGTTGCGAAAAAAACAATGGAAAAAAATATTGGACAAAGAGTTTGCATCAAATTTTGTGTTTCGAACGAAATTTCGTGTGCAGAATCGTTGCGAATGCTACAAAAGGCTTATGGGGAATCAGTTTTATCGAAAACTCAAGTTTATGAGTGGTACAAAGCCTTTCAGGACGGTCGTACGACCGTCGAAGACATTTCGCAACGCACTACTGAGGGGAACTGGTTTCAACAGCTGCCGTAAACGAACTGTCTGACAGATCGCGCTCATTTTTGGCATAGTAATTAAGGACAGTGCTGCCAAACTACATAAACTTAAAATATCGAAAAATATACAGCGCGCGAATTTTAAATGAGAATTTCCGAAAACTTTTCAGTCTTAATGTATAATAATATTTGGGTTTCATGAAATTGACTAAGAAGTCGATATATAGCGTGATACTTATAAGGATCTCCGGTTTCTGGTACATTTTTAAACTAATACGCTCTATTAAAAATCTATTTTAATTAAGTATGCATTAAGCGTTATTATTTATGACCTCCTGCTATTTTTCAGATAGCTTAATACATCACTGTCTTGATAAGGATATGTAACCTAAAATGTCGCATTTCAAACAAGTGTTCGTTTGCCATAATCGTATGAGTGTTGACAGATATATGGGAAACAACACCATCTAGTGAGAATAAACCGCAAATACTTATGTAATACTATGTAATATACTATGAAGTTTTAATAGTATACGCTCAGAGTGTACTCAAAAATTTTTTGTGGGAAATGATATAGATATGATGCAGTATCTTCCTTCTTTGCTTTTTCTCTTATGCCGGATCTATATACATATATATTTGGATAAGTGCTGAGTTACGAGTAAACTATTAGTAGTGTTGATAGTATTCCCTTATAAAAACTTTTAATTAAAATAATCAAAATGTCCAATATTTGGACAATCTTCGAATATCATCTCCACGAGCTATAAATTTATTTAAATGGCTGAATATTCTATATGAATGGAAACCATATTACACTGAATATGGGTTCCACCTTATTGTTCTCTGATCATCTAAGTAATCAAAATCATTATTGAATAAATACTTCAGAAGCTCATATTACTAACGCTAACGGTTTTCTGATACTAACGCCCTTTTTTTCGAATCACAATATGAGTTTATTTAATGAAGTCCATTATTTTAGCAGTTCTTCAGCCGTTAACTGATGTACAATACAGAATGATAGGTACATACTATACTAAAATTATAAGTCTCATAATCTGTAGTGATCATACCTGGTGCACGCTTCGCCGATAGTTTTTCCATATAGATTTGATTTGAAAGTTAACAAGCTTCTGCGCTTTCATTCAAAGTTCAGTTCTCGAAATGTGTTGTTCATCTTTTTTGAATCATTTATATTTAAAAAAAATGACAGCAGATTCAGTAAGGTCCTCAATTGATCAATAATAATAGCAAAATATGGAGATTCTGTTACTAATAAATTAATGCCATATTTTAATTGAAGCTTTAAACTATTAAATTGTTTCTCTTGAAAATGTATCGCGATAATAAGTATAACATAGACAGATTTTGTGTATGTTTATCAAATGAAAAACAGAAATAGTTATAGATGTCAGTTAAATGCCATTAGATCTTCAAACAATATTACAAGATTGTGCTATGATATGTAGTTAAAAATATTTCAAAACACCTGCAATTGCAATATATCAAATTTAGAATATTTACCATTACGGGTCAATCTTCATAACACCAACTAATTATTATATACAACCCAGTTTGGTGAAAAATTTATGAGAGGTAATATATATTGAATTAAAGAAAAGTCTTAAAAAGTACCAATTTCCAACAATTAGACAAAAGATACTAATTTGAGTACAATGTTTTAAAATTATATAACGCAAGAAAGCACGAATAAACTTTATATAGTTTTTCATACTCCAAAAATTTCGATGGTTACCTGTAAGTTCAAAAATATTTACTGTGAAAGTTATAATAAGACTGCGTATGAGGTCACTAAGTGTCTTATTGAGCCGTACTCGAGGTGGAGAAACACGATTTCAGTTGGTGCCCGACTTAAGCAATCAGTCAAACAATTGTCCGTAAGTAGGAAAATTGAAGATTCATATAGAATATAAAATACATTTGTTATTCTTACACCAAAACTCTAGATCCATGCCAAACTCTTTAAGCGTTTCAATGGTTGGAGACCTTTTTTATATGATTTCAAATTTGATGCTTGTAAATTACTTTTAATGCAAGAGAAATATCCCATAGCGGCACTTTTTTGGAAAAATGTTAAAAGTTTCACGAATATTAACTCCACCTGCTCTTTTATTGTAAGTAGGATATTTGATTTAATCATGAAGCTATTAAATATTTCTATAATCGCAATATTGTTCAAAGGGCGATGTTTGGATGGAAAAATTTATGCCTTTGAATGAGACCATCAGACTGCCCATTTCATTTGGTGAATATATGCTTCACCTTACTTGGTTTGCAAACGGCAAAATGACTGGAGTGACTAATGGCTCAATATCATTTACCGAATTTTAATAATAAAATTGTGTAACAGAAGAATACTTAATTCTGTAAATAATGCTTAATTTCAATCAATATATAGTATTTGCTGCAATACATGTTTGTGTCTTAAGAACTTAATTTCAAATGTATATGTTGATCAAAAATATCAAATTTGGGAGTATATTCTTTCATAAATTTTTTTTTAAGATATAATTTAATATTAAAAATTTGGTTTTTGGTGTATTCTATACTAAATTATTTTAATATGAATTTATATAAATAACATTCTTAAATAAAATATTGCATGATCATTTAGGCATAAGAAAGGTTTATTTTCGTTGGATACCCCATCATTTGATAAAATTTCAAAAGATGCTCTTGTCGATTGATGCACACAAATGCTCAAGAAATACAATGACGGTGCTTCAAAAGGCGTATATGAGTATAAGATTGTAACAACTGACGAATCATGGATATATGCTTAAGAGCTGGAACGTAAACATCAGTGGACTGTATGGGTGTGTCAAGATGAACCAAATCCATCAAAAGTTGTTCGCACTCGAAGCAATTCAAAACAAATGGTCGCTTGTTTTTTTTTGGGAAAACTGGTCATGTGGCAACTATACCAACTAGACCATTACAAAATCGTGAAATGATCGATTCCAAATAGCATACAACCATTTGTTTACCGGAAGTCTTCAATGAAATACGGAAAACAAACAAGCGAAGTCAGATCATTCTTCATCTCTA